GAGAGGAGGGGGAGGGGAGGGAGAGGCGGCACGGGCCAGGAGGTCTAAGGTGGCCGCTGCTGTTGGGACCTGGACTGCGGCTGACGAGTCGCGGTTGGCGCTGCTGCCGTTGCCGGTGCCGGTGCCCAAGAAAGAAAGGTGGCGAGGGCCGGGCCGTGCCGGTCCTGGGTGGCATTTAAAGGCCACCGGGCCCCGCTCGGGAACCGGGAACAGGGCGGGGACCCGGCTGGGCTGCCGCGGCTTGCTCAGCTTGCCCTGCCCCTCGGTCATTGGACAGTGGCGGGAGGCCGGGGCAGGAGGGACGGGCCAGTCCAGGTCCAGGCGTGCGGGAGGGCGGGGCCCGTGGCGGCGATCCGGGGCGGGAAGGTGGGTGGGGCTGGGGGACTGGGAAAGAGAGGGCCGGGACCTGCCAGGTGACAGGTGCTTAGGACACCCCTGCCGCTCCCGTCCTGCTTTCTAATCACTGACCTCCCTTGCTTCTGCCGCATCCTGGGGGCAGGTGAGACGGTGAGAGGCGAGGTCGAGGGAAGATCGGGGAGAAGGGGAGCATCCCAGAGCGGGAGGTCAGTTTGATTTCTTTCAGAGATTGCCAATCAAGTGAGAGAAAGATGCATTGGGCTGTCTAGGGTAGAAAGAGAAAGAAAGATCTCAAGGCTTGCAGAAGTAAATATTGGAGCCTAAAGAAAGAGACAAGGAGACCTCAAGGTAGGGTGTTTTCTGTCCCTTGGGGCCAGACACCGGCTAGGCCTCGTTTCCCTGCGAAAATATGGGCGGGCTGGGCGGTCCCTTGAGGCTCTTTCCAGCGGGCCTCTGGCTAAGTCATTGCAAATACAATTGGACTCCAGACGGTCCTCAGAGAGCCTCCACAGGGCCCTGTTTTTTTTTTTTTATTTTTTTTTTTTTTACAAATTATTTTCCCAGTTTGGGGGCTGTAAATTTCTCTCTGAAAATCTCCAACGACCTTTGTGGAGTAATTCCCAGGAGATACACCCTCTTTTATTCTACAGCACAAATTCCAAATGGCATTTCCACATCAGGATGGTTATGTAACTTCTCAGATAAAGCTGTATCGACGTACACTTTATTAGATGACGTCTTGGCTTACACATTCCATTGTGTGAATCACTGGGGTGTTCTACACTAATAAGCAGGGAACATATGTGACCTACTGCAGTTTCAGAGGACCTCAGAAGCTCCCTTCCAGCCACTGATACTGGCTGCATGGCCCAAAACATCACTGCAGCTTTGTGTCTTAGTTTTCCTTTTATGGACCAGAGCTAATCAGGTAATCTCAGTTGCACAGTAAGAATTACCTGCACATACCTGTAAGCCACAGTCCTTTGTGGAAGTGGTTCCCTCATTAGAGGCTGAAGTGCAGTTGTAGCTCACATTTTTACTCCTGTTTAACAGTCTTAGCTCAAATCACACCTATTAATTATTCTAAAATTGTAGGCAGTTAAAGGAAACTTGATGTTTGAAAGTACTTTGATATATCTCAATTTCTAAGAGTCTGGTATAGGGGAAAGAGCATTAAAGTTGTTCTTTGTCATTAGCTAAGCATACATACATCACCATACATCCTGGTGATTAAAGAGCTGCTGCTCTGGGTTCAAATCCTTCCTTTATTATTGACTAGCTGGGTGATTACATGAGTTACTTCATCTGTATCTTCTCTGGACCTTAGTTTCTTCACCAGAGATGATGATGATAATGATGATGATGATGACAACTAGGATGATAATGCCTATCTTGGGTTAGCTGTGATGATTAAGTAAACTGGTTCCTGTACCTTCTTTAGAATAGCACCCGGCACATTGTAAGCACTTACTCTACCAAAGTTCAGGCAGATTGCAAGCACTGGGGTTCGCAGAGACTTTTTTGCCAAGGTTAAATTCCAGTGAGGAAAGGCAAACAATGAACAAATATGTAATATATCAGGTGGGAAAAAATGTTAGGAAAAAATAATACCACAGGTAAGGAGGGAGAGAGAAGTAGCATGATGCCGTAGGGTGGTCAGGGAACCATCTCTGATAAAGTGACATTTGAGAAAATCCCTGAAGAAAGGAAGGGAGGGAGGGAGTCATCTGGACCTCTGGAGGAAAAGGTTGCTGGCAGAGGGAACTGCAAGGGTGATGTCCCCAAGGTGGAGTGAATGGAGAAAACATTGGGGCAAGGGTCCAGAGGCTGGTGGGTAGTTAGGTGTAGATAGGCCTTGGGAACTGTGGTGAGGACTGGCTTTTACCGTAGGGAGATGGGAAGACATCAGAAGCTGTGTAGAAAAGAGGGACAGTTTGCCTTCTGTTGTAGATGCCTCCCTCTGGCTGCTGTGTGGAGTGACCTTTGGGGAAAAGGTATTATATAGGAGAGAGGGGAAAACAGGATTTAGGTCACTCCTGCACCATTCCAAGCAAGAGGTAATGGTGGTTTAGACATAGTGGAAGTGCTAAAGATGTGAGGACACTGTGGGCCCTTGATAAGTCCTACTTGTCATAGAAAATCAATAGTTCATACCCCTTATGGGTCTCAATTTCCTTACTTGCAAGATTAAGGGTGTGAGCTCATTCACCATTCCCTTTCAGCTCTTTGAAAGTTCTTCTGAAAACCTGTGTAAATGCCGACTAAATTTTAATGGGTTTGAGAGTAGGTGCTAATGAATGAAAATAATCTTGGGTAATAAGTAGTTTTGTAAGGTGAAGAATAACCCTCTGATTTGTTTTGTTAGTGAAGGTGAAGATACTTGGATTGTTGAAGATGAGTTTCTTACACTTAAGAATAGCAAGGTACTGAACCTTCCCAGAATATCCAGAATATTTTAACATGGAAAATTGTCTTTTATTCTAAAAATGCTAGATTACTTCTCAGTCTACAGAATGGTTAATTTTGCACATGGTGAGCATAGAGAAAGCCTAAAAGAAAAAAGCCATTATCGAATTAATGAACTATAGAGCTTAAAAGTTTTGCTTTTTTGAGTTGTAAAGTGAAGGATAGGCAAACTATGCTTTGATTACAGGCATTTGTATCTTAAAACATTAATGAAGATTGTGACCCACTTATGAACTACAACTGAAATTTCATGATGAACTGTATTTTCTACTGGAAAACCACTAAAACAGCTATCAAAGGGGAGAGGGCAGTCAACCATGATTAACAGTGAAAGAAGAATAAACAGATATTTGATGATGGACTTTGCTAAATGATCTTCCCTGATAAAAATAGTAGCTCACTTCCTTCTTTCCTTCTCATGTTATATGTTTTATTTAAATGAATGCGCACAGAATTTCTAATATTGAGAAGAGAATGAAGCACTGATGAATGAATTATTTTATCAGCATTTCTGTGTGCAGTGTTACCATGGCCCAAGAAGAAATATTTGCAAATGTTTCCATCAAGAATCTCTAACATGAAGAACAACCTGTCAGGGGCCATGTGGGTGTAGCTACCAGCTCAAAATGTCCTTGTAATATTGAATATAATATTCTATGCATTTCACATTCTGTTCCATTATAATGCCATGTTTATTTTTATACAAATAAACATAATGTACTCCTCACAACCATACCTTTAGTAAAATTGAAGCATCCCAAATGTTTATTTCTGGAAGACATTGACTCCTTCCCCATCCTAAGCCCCAAAGGGTGGTTGTAACCCACTTTGAGAAATAAGACCCCCGCACAGTGTTAAGTTCCATTGAGGCTTTCAGAGCGCCACAATTGTGTTTGCTGAGCTGGTCTCACCATCAATATTTATGTAGGGAGTAAAATACATAGAATCAGCATTCTTTTGTTTACTTAAGTAGGAGGGCAATCATTTATCAAGCTATTTTTCTATACTTCAAAATATGATTACAGTTCTTAATTCTTTTCGGAACTGCAGTCATAGTTATCAAATAATTATTTAGACACACAAATTTGTGTTCTACCAAAGTAATTAGGGGACAGCCATAAAACTTGGCAGTCAGTGCCAGTTCCCAACATTTCATTATTTTCCGTTTATTTACGAGGAAACTAGAACCAGCCTCCCTGTGTGTGTGTTTTAATTACTCAGTCCAGGAAGGATTGACTTTAGAAAACCTCTTGGTTAAGAAGATAATCAGGAGCCCATTCCCAGAAGGAGCTCAGAGCTTCAAAGGTGCCCGCAGCTCCATGTCCCGGGGTTGTCACCGTGGGACCTTCAGCATGCCTGAGAAGTCCTCGCTGGAGCCACAGCTCTCTTCTGTGAGAGGTAACAAAAGCCCCGACCACAGCGAGCAGAATGGGTTCTGCTGAGAGAAACAGAGAGCCCTGCTTCCAGCGCTCAGACCTGGCAGCATGAATGAAAGATATTTTAAGACTCTTTTCAGCGGGGTTTGTGCGTATACTGAGTCAACAATGTGCTTCTGCGCGAGGTCTTCGCAGCCTCACCTTCCAGCGATTCCAAGAGGCGGATCTGTCCATCAGCCAGTCTTTTACCCAAGAGGAATGTGACAGGCCTGTGAGGCGGTGCCCGGGCCTAATTACGCTCTTCTCATTGTTGCTTTGACGCTTCTGTTTTCATTTGCTGGCTTATAGTCCTCCCTTTCATTGCCTCTGTGATTTTATTTTCTTGTTGTCAAGTGGCATAAAGGCCTCCTTAGTTTTGGAGTTTCATGGAAACTTGCCTGGCTTGGCTGGGTGGAAGGAGACCAAGATTCCGATTCAGCAGCGATCTGAAAGCCCTGACTGACTGGGAGGAAAATAGGAGGCAGGCTGCCAGGTGGGCAGTTGCATTTTAGAGGAAACATTTAGTGACTCGGATTTTTGGCCTTCTTAAAAGGTGAACTACACAGAACGGGAGTTAACGCAGCACAGCTTTGGAACAAACTACCCTCCAGAAGGGGCCTGGGAATTTAAGCTTGGCATCCAAATTTGATTACCAAAGTAATTCAGAGAAGAAGACATGCTTCGTGTATTCAATTTAACAACTATTCATTGAGCTGAAGCTCTTAGTTGCCATTTTTATAATTTTTTTAACTCTCTTTAAAAAAAAGTTACATGCATACTTGCACTTACAGCATGTAGATATGTATTTCTTAAGGGTCTCTCTACTATGCTAATGTTAGGGCTGAGGACACACCATCCTAAAATATGGCTGTAGAACAGAATAATATGATGCCCCCAAATACATATCTTTGACGTAATTTGAGTTGATTATTCTGAGAAATTTCAAGAAGGAGTAGCTCTTGAAAAGCTGTCCCTTTGTAAAGGAGATTTACATCTATAAAGGAACTCTGTATCAGTAAAGTATCTGTCTGGACAAGATGCTCTAGACAACTTTTGTCACATTTGCATGCCTGGAGAACCTTTATTTACAGTGCCTATTCTGCGTCACCTTCCTGTAACTTGTGTGGCTACAATTTTCCAGGAGCCACAAGTTTCCCTAGCTTGGGATGCTATGTAAACATCACTCGGCTGCATTTTCTTTGAGCCTCAGATTTTTGTGGGACTCTTGTGGGTATGTACCTACTTAAATATGGGTTTTATTCTTTTAAGTTGTTTTATATCAGTTAATTCATAGCCCAGACTAGGAAGGTAGAGGGAAGCCATTTCCCCCTCACCTACATTCATGTTATAAATTCCTCTTGTGCACACTGATTCTTCTAGGTGACAATAATCAGAATGGATCTAAAAGCTTCCTTGGCAACATAGCCTAGAAAAAAAATGATATTATTAGAATTCAGGGATTGGTTTCAACTCATTTCCAATCAGGTTACATGTTTTTGTCTAAATTCATGTTATTTGATGCATGTTGATTTTCATCCTGAATTGTTCCAGTGATTAATGTATTTCATAGAGAAAAATTAAGAGATGAAGAAAATATTATCATCATTATTATTTTGTGGTCCTGGGGGTCTAATCGAGGGCCCTGTGCATGATATATACATGCTTTTATCAATTAGCCATACCACCCAGCCCCCAAGTATTTAAACTTATGATAGAAGTTCACATTGGCAGTCTATATTGATTAAACTCATCGTAGGCCATTCATTCACAGATGTTGGCCTTTGTTGGCTCAGTGTTGCTCTTAAACCTAAGATTGGTTGGAACTCTGTAAATTCAGCAAGCTTTGGACTGAGAACCACGTTTTAAAATTGCTTGGTGTGTGTGTGTGTGTGTGTGTGTGTGTGCGAGAGAGAGAGAGAGAGAGAGAGAGAGAGAGAGAGAGAGAGAGAGAAGATGGGATGAAATGGGGTAGAGGGAGAAGGGAATTTTCAGATTTTCTTAATAACCAAGCCTCATTTTAATTATCAGAAAGAATCAAAAAAAGTAACATGGAGAGAGGAAGTAAAGTGCTTATTTTTGATCCCATCAATGTAATGCTAGGGAAAACTCCATCATGAGGGAAAGGGGGATACCTCATGCCTTTTTTGAGGGGTTGCTGGTTTGTTTTTTGTTTTGAGAAGCCTGTGGCAGAGGTACAATTGTTAAATTTCTCTTCCCTTGATGCTTTCTCAACATTCTCTGCTAACAGGTGTTCTTCTTGACATTATTCTGAAATCTTCCTACATGCAGCTCCTCCCAGCCCAGTTCTGTCCACCTCATGAACCAGTTACTTAATCATATAAAATGGCTTGTTTCCCCATAATCCCAGCTTCTTCCCTGGACAGCTTAGCTTACTTTATTCCTGGCCCTTTAAGCTCCTCCATATTCCTTTCATCAGATCTGAGCTCTCTTTTCTTCTATAGCCTTTTTTTTTTTTTTGGTACCAGGGATTGAACCCAGGAATGCTCAACCACTGAGCTATATTCCAAGGCTTTTTTTTTTTTTTTTTTAAGACAGCTTCTAAGTTTCTTAGGGCCTCACTAAGTTGCTGAGGCTGGCTTTGTACTTGCTATCCTTGTGCCTCAGCCTCCTGAGCTGCTGGGATTACAGACGGGAGCCACCACTCAGGGCTGTAGCCTATCTTTAGTAGGCAAAAATTTAGTGGGCAGATTCTCACTTAACCTGAAAAAGAAAATTAAATTCAAACAAACACACACCATTTGGGAGGCCGGGCTAAGTAAGTTCTGGTCTTTCAGAAGGCCAATATTCATCTTTTTCTTTTCTTTTTAATGCTACAGCCAGGACAGGTAGAAAAAATGTGTATCATCCTACTTCAAGCCAAAGTAGCAGAGCTAATTATTGTTCTAGAGAACTTACAACTGAGGATTGACATGGGATGATTTATATAGATTATCTAATACCAGCTGATATGCTATAAATGGAAATGAGAAGGAATGAGCTTAGTGAGAAAAGAGGATGAGCAGAATTTCTGAGGATGGGGAGGATGTGTGTGTTTTCAGGTCTAGTGCTGATTTTAATCTAGAGTGTTGTTCATTCTCGGTGTTACAAGAGAAGCTCATAAAACAGCCATGGGCTCACCCAAAAGCCCTTAGTAATTATGACACAATGCTAAAATAGAGCATCACCCAGGAAGGGAAGAGTGCCTGCATCTTTTAGTAAATTGTTGTTCATTTTCCTTCTTTAGTGTTGAGTTTGCATTTAGTCAGTGTGATTTTTAAAAACATCAATCGCGAACCCTCCTGAAAATCATCAGGGAAATGGGGAGGGGGATCCTCTTGGTGTTTAGAAGGTAATTCTAATTCCTGTCCATGCCTTCAAGGCCCTGCAGGATCTGGCTTGCCTCTCCAGCTTCACCTGGGGGCCGTGCTCTGTCCTGCTCACACTCTGCAGCCAAAACTGGCCTCCCTGGCATTCTCCCAACAGACAGGTGCCCTCTTTCCTCCAGTGCTTGGCATTGGCTCTTCCTTGGGCCTGGAATGTGCTGCCTCAGGCACTTTTTTTTTTGTTTTTGCATACTTAAATTATTAGCTCAAATGTCACCTCTTGTGGGAGGCCTTCCCTAATACACTCCAGCCCAGACTTCACTGTGTCCCCGTGGAATATTTATCTCCATCTGCAATTGTCTTTTTTTATTACTTGGTGTGGCCTTTCCACCCCACAGAGTAAGAGCCTTGAGAGCAGGATGGCTGTGAGAACTGGCATGAAGTTCTATCGTTTGAACAAATGAACTGATGAATAATGGATAGCCACGGTCTGCAGATGAGATCCAACCTCATGACTGTGAAGACTCCAGGGTCCCAAGGCTGGAATCCACTCATTTACTTCCTGTTTCAGCCTAAGAACAATTCTCCTGGAATTGCCCCTGCACTCAGGTGTCCTTCCCACCCCGTGGAGACTGAACCCAGCCTAGGGGTTCTCCATTAAGTCCACATTAAACATTAGCCAAAGTTGTTGGACCTAAATTTAAAATGTCTGAAAATAGCCTTGTCAGCAATGAATAGTTATATTCATGGTATTATAATTCTCTCATTTTGATTGGCTAGATCTCAGGCTCTTTAGAGTATCCTGATATGATCACAAACATTTTCTCCAAAAAGAGATGAGCAGTGAAAGTGTTGCCTTTCCAGATTGCTTTTTAAATTTTATTTAACAAGCACTTGCATGTTTGCTGTGTGGCATGCCCTTCTCTCAGTACCTGCCACACACTGCCACAGGTGGGGTTCTCTGGAAGCAGCAGTGGAGACAGGGCTTGGGTGTGAGGTGCTTATAGGGATTAACACCTTTGAGGGGAAGTTAGAGCAACCTCAGCTGGGAACTGGAGGCAAGTGTTGCGGGACCAGGCCAAAGGGCCCAGCTTCTCCCCACCCATATCACTCAGTCACCAAATTGCTTCCCCAGGAAGGGCGTGGCCTCGGGCAAGGCAACTGTCTGCAGCTGGGACAGATAAGTTGCTGAGAGCTGGAGGAGCTTGCTGACCATGCTCCGGAGCTGAGCGACAAGTCCCTTCTTGAAGCAGGATGGGGACATCGCATGTCTATCTGCTCAAATAGGAACTCTTTTGACCCTCGTAAAAACCTCTGAGGTAGGGCCTTTCATTATTCTCCTTTTACAGACGAGAAGACTGAGGTGTGGAGAAATTAGGTAGGAGAAATTAGGCAGAACTATGACTTGGCCCAGGCAGTGCGGCTCCAGAATCAGCCCTGTCTTCCACTGAGAGATGCTGTCTTGTTACTTCATAGGGATTAAGAATAGCCCAATAAGAACAATACAACATTGACTGCGCTTTGACATTGTGAAGGGCACTCACTTTAGTGCTTTCGTTTTTGATTTAGTCTTTATAAGGTTCTATGAATATGTGTGTGTGTGTGTGTGTGTGTGTGTGTGTGTGTGTATATGGTGTGTCTGTCTAGTCTGGTGCATTTATTAAAAATGACATCAAAAGGTGATAATTTAAGGTTGTCTAATGCATGCAAATATTAAACCCTACCTATAAAAATCAAAGAATTGAAGCTAGAGGCTTTAGAGACAATGACTGAGCTTGAATCCCAGGACAGGAAGGCATGCGCTGGGGTTCTTAGGTGGGCCTGGGAAGAGAAAAGGTCCACCTTGAAGTTCAGGGCCACAGAGAGAGTAGGTGGAAGGAAGGTTGTAAAATGCAGGGTGAGGCTCTGCCAATCACAGGAGTGGAGCCTTAGCACAGAAAAGAGCCAGAGGGAAAGGCAGGTAGCATTCTGAGGGGGGGGTAAAGGAGGGGGCAACAGAGCAGAGTGCCCTTCAGAAGAGGCTGAAGACAATTCAACACTGTGAAAGGACCAAGAGGCCTGAAGAGGAGGAGGACAAAGTGGCATTGGGCTGCTCCTCAGAGTGGAGATGTGTGGGCCTGGGCTGAAGAGGGGAGGAAAGAGGAAATCCAGTGGCAGTAGAACATGTTTCCATCACCATGGAATTCAATTTCTGTTCTCAACACTGGGCTTAGGTAAAGGAGAGATCGAACATGGCAAGTTTTACTAGCATGATTCAGGAAACACATTTCCGCTTAATCTAAGTAAAATTTCTTTTTACTTAGAAGAGTTTATGCAATAAAAGTTATTATCCTTAAGCCTTTTTACTCCCACAAGGTTAACTGGTTTCACATTCTTTTTTTCCGGAGTTTGGTGAAATCCCCTCTTAGAGCTCAATAGAGAAATTCTGTTTTAATCCTTTCCTACTTTTATTTGTATATAAAACATGGTCCAAAAGGCTGGAACAAAGTCTCAAGTAGTAAGTGCTCTTCGTAAAAACAGTCAGCAGGGATAAAGTTCAGCAACATGACATATAAACAGACCAAACTCTGAGCCAGGGGGATTAAAGGACTCTGCATGGGATCTGAATGAAGGTTATTCTTGCTACTGAACTGATTATGTCACTGTGGTTGACCCTTATATTAACAGGTTTTTTTTTCCTTGTGACATCTTCTTTCACATCCTCTTACGGATATTCTATCATGATTTATTCATTTGCCTATTTTTGTAACATATAAAGCCATTTGATAAACTTGCCCATGGCTCACAGTATACCACTACTCTAAATAATTCACAAGGCAAAGCAAGGTCGGGGGTGTTTAAAAAGTAATGTACAGCAACTGCAGGAGAATACAGGATGCCAAATGTGCATCTTGCTTAGAGTAAATGCTCAAACTAGTTTATTATACTAAATCAAACTGGGAGAATGTGAAGAGACGCAGCGTCTCTAGAGCATAGTATATTTCTAGTTCCATCCGCTTGAAGACCAGCTTGGTTTCAGAGAAGCAGGGTTGCTTCTTAGTTTATATTTGGGGTGGAGACAAATAACTTCTTTCTGGACTCCGGCATTTCAGAAATCTGAAAGATCTTATGAAGGTAGAAATGAAGTAAATGTGGAGGAGGGGATGGCTGCAGGGATTGCGGCAATGGTGGGTTTGGAGTCTGACGTTGACCCTTGGATGATTCTGATTTGCCTTTCTGCAGTCACTTTTCAGCTGCACATGGTTTGTGGGAGCCAATGAAAGAAAACTGTATCTGGGGAACACAAAAAAGGTAGCTATGTCAGGACTTTGAAGGGCTTCTATTCAATCACTGGACGCTGCATTCAAAGCCACACCTGCTTCCAAGACACACTTCTCTTCAAAGAGCTGGATTCAGTATCATAAAGTGAACTGTTTCATAAAATGCTTCACTCACCAATGCTGAAAAGTCAAAGCATTTGTGAAAGTGCAGGGTCACAGGCACATCTAATAGTTTTATAGCTCTGGTTAGTTTCTGTCCAGCATGGCTAAACCTACTTAATATTCCCATGTGTGGTCTCCACTCAGCTGAACCAACCTTAGGACAAATTCATTTTCCCTCTTTAAAACAAAAACAAAAATAGCCATGCCACTAAAATTTAATCTCTAAAAAACTTTTCTATAGAAATTTCTAGAGAAATTCTAAAAAAACCCCAGATTTCTCTAAAAAATTTCCATAGAGGGGTGTGTTTACTTGGTCATAGATGGATCTTAAATTAATTTGATGGGTAACCAATGTGGACCCTCCTGTGACTGTGCCCCGTGATGCAGACTACACATACTCTTCAGCTCGGCATTGTTCTAGAATTAACTGAACGGTTCTTTCATGAGATGACATTCAATCCACACAAAGAACGCAAGGTCAAAAAGGGCTGGAAGGGAAAGTGAGTGTGGCCCATAAAACCAAGAGGTACTTAAGATTTAACAAGATTAACATGTGCTGTTGAAAAGAGCTACCTGGCCTGAGTCACGGGGAAGTGGGGGATGCCAGCTCAGTGTTCAGTTCTCTGAGTTTTGCTGTCACACCACACAAATGGAAAGCTTCAGAGAGCCTTGCATGGAACTGTAATAAAAGCTCTTTGGAAAATAATCAAATGATCGTATCTTTAATAGTTATTTTTCTTGGACCTTTTTGAGTCATTCTTTTTCACTGACCTGGTTATTTGCTGTTAGCATTTCTTTTGTCTGCCTTGTAGGGAAGCTTATATCTGAAGCTTGCCCAGGTTCTTAAGTCCAAGTCATTCAGAACATAGAAAATTCAAACTGGACTCTTTTGCAACAATTTCCACTAAAAAAAAAAAAATCTATAGTGGATTCATCAACAGGAAGTGGAGGGAACAATCCTTGCCCTTCTGGGGCTGTGTCTAACTGCATGAATGAGTGGAACTCACTAAATTATATGCAAAACTCATCACTCAAATGCCTACTAATCTTTTTGCCCTGGGCAAAGCAGTTTTTCCACATCATTTTAGCTTTCATGGCAACTACCATTTTTAGAACACCATATTTTATATGTTGAAAGTCAGCTTTAAATGCTCTATAACTGGATGATCCCAGGAATGTCGAGTAATCTGGGCATAAGCAATTTGCTAAATGCTACATATAGAAGAAACTTTCAAAGATATGCTAGGTGCACATGTGCATTACAATACAGGCAGGTAAACAGGCCATGGATGCTTATTTAGATGCCTATTTAGGTCCTTGATTTGGGGTTCTATCCATATAGAAAATATAAGTGCTCTGCCTGCCAGGGTAGGTATCTTGGTGCTTTCATCATTCTTTTTTTTTTTTTTTTCCTTGCAAACAGAACTTATTCAGGAATGAGTGGCAATTTGTCTCCTAAAAAGCTCTATTCTTCAGACTTCCTGATGTTCAGGGAGTTCTGTAATATAATTCTGGTCAATGAAATTTACATGGAAGCCTAATTGATGAGCTTTCAGAAAAGCCCCATAAAAAAGTTGACATTTGCCTTTTGCTCTTTGTTCCTCCTTTTTCTCTCTTCCTGGGATATGGACCTGGGGAGGGTAGAAGCTGTGTGCTAATAACGGCTGAGCAGAAAGGTAGGAGGACTCTAGTCCTTGGTGGTGTCAAAGACCATTGAATGGCCAGACCTGGAGCCACCTTCCAGACTTCTTATTCAAGAGAAATAAGCCACTTATTTTAGGCACCACAGACAAATTTCTATTTCAAGTCACTGAAACAATGATACATGATACCTAATTTCCACAGAGTGGGTGTTTACCTATAGTGTCCTGGTTCTGAATAAGAGTGACTCAATTGTCCCCCAGAAGTAACTGCACTTAAAGTCTGAAGAAGACTGATTTTCAAACACCCCAATGGTTTGGTTAACCAAAGAAAGGAAGAAAGCTCTGAAATTCCTCCTCTTAATCCTTGATTTGCTTTCAGTGGTCACTGTGACCCAAATGGCAAGAAGTGCCTGCCATATTTATTTCATAGGCTTCCCCACCCCCAGCACTCCAATCATGTAACTTTCTTCAGTAAGCAAATGAGATCACCAAGAACAAAGATCAGTTTCTTAACCTGCAATGCCAAATACAACTACTTACTGTGAGCACCCTGTGAGCATGCATGTGAAAGTGTGGGTACACCTGTTCTTCATACCTTTCTTTAGCTTCGGAGGAGAACCTAGACTTTCTTTTAAAGTTAAAGTTCTAGTCCAAATCATTTTAGTTTGGTAAATTGAAGTGGACCTGTGGTTGGAGAGCACACGTATCCAGAGTGTTGGGCCCTTTCCATCTCCACACAGAAAAGAACAAGACCTGTTGGTAGAATAGTGAGTAGTTCCATCTGGATGGGGCCCATGCATGACAGGTGAAAGGCAGACTGGGGCCTGTTGGTTGCCTTGAGGTCAAGTTTGGAGTTTGAAATTAATTCTGGAGCTAGCTTTTCCCAAAGGCTTCCTCAGAACTCTAGGACAATGAGATGTTAAACAAAGAAGGCTCCATGGTCAGAAAAATTTGGAAGCTATCCATGGTATCTGTCTCCCTCTTGAAATTCACACTGTACAATTGCATGCTAAAGGCTGAGAATATCTTCATTAAAGAAACTGGTTAAACTTAATCCAGGATTCCTCCCCCAGATAACACCTGTTAGCAGGTACAGTTACAGGCTTAACTCAATTTCTATTCAGATCTCAGAATTAAGTTTTGTGTATTTAGGTAAGAGCGTTCTAAATTTTATATCAGAAGGCTAAGAAATAGTTAAAACAATTTTGGAAAAAAAAAAGAATTTAGTAGGAAGAATTAGTTACTGGATTTCAAGATGTATTATACAGCTAATGAAAATCAAGATTATGTGGGATTTGGTGGAGGGATATAAGCATATATCCACAGGACAAAACAGAGAATCCAGAAAGAAACCCACACAAATATGCCTAATTGATTAAAAAAATGTAGTTGTAGATGGACAGAATGGCTTTATTTTATTTGTTTGTTTTTATGCATTGCTAAGATCAAACCCAGTGCTTCACAAATGCTAGGCAGGTGCTCTGCCACTGAACTATAGCCCTAGCCCTGCCCAATTGATTTTTGACAAAGGTACAAAAGCAGCTCAATGATGGAAAGACAGACTTTGATAAAGGATGCTATAGCAACTGAACATCCACAGGCAGAACACAAGAAAGACAAACAAAAAAACACAATGAACTTCTTCCAAAGTTGAGTGCATTACAAAAAAATTAAGATGAAATGGACCACAGACCTAAAGATAAAGTGTAAGACTATTAAAACTTTTAGAAAGAAACATAGGAGGAAGTTTTTAGGATCTGGCATTAGGCAGAGAGTTCTTAGGATAATAAAAGCACAGCTCATAAAATTAAAAAATTAGTAAACTAGACTTTAAAAAAATATTTTGGTAGTTGTAGATGGTCAGGAGAATGCCTTTAGTTTATTTTTTATGTGGTGCTAAGGATTGGACCCAGTGCCTCACATATGCAGACGCACTGCCACTGAGCTAAAGCCCCAGCCTTAAACTAGACTTATCAAATGAAAACATTTTGATCTGCAAAAGGTCCTGTTAAGAGAATGAGAAGATGGGAGGGGGAGTAAGAGAGGGCTATATGAACTCTAGAAAGGGCAAAGGGGTGAGAGAAAAAGGGAGGGGGCATGGGGGTAGGAAAGATGGTGGAATGAGATGGACAGCATTACCCTAAGTACATGTATGAAGACATGTACGAATGGTGTGAATATACTTTGTATACAACCAGAGATATGAAAAATTGTGCTCTATATGTGTGATATGAATTGTAATACATTCTGCTGTTATATATAACAAATCAGAATAAAAAATAAAATTAAAGAATGAAAAGACAAAATATAGAGTTGAAGAAATCATTTGCAACTGCATGGATGAGAAAGGACTAGTATCTAGAACACATAAAGGGTCAAATTTAACAGAAAAGCTTCAATTATAAGTTGGGTAAAAGACATAAAGGGACATTTCACCAAAGAAGACATTCAGATGGTAAATAAACACCTGAAAAGATGTTTGACATCATTCGCTATTAGGAAAAGGCAAATTAAAGCCACAGATATTATTATACACCTACCGGAATGGCTAAAATAAAATAGCATCACCACCATCAAGTTGGCGAGGATATACAGAAACTAAATCCTTTACATATAGGCTGGTGGGAAAATCAAGTGGTTTAGCCTCTCTGGAAAATATGCAATTTCTTTAAAAGCTAACCATGGCAGCTACCATACAACCTGGCTATTTAACTCCTAAGCATTTATCCCAGAGAAATCAAGACTTATGTTCACATAAAAGCATGTATTTACAGCAATTATATTTTATTGTAGATGCAACTTCAAGTCTCCTGGGATATTCCTCTTTTTAATGCAACAGACACCTTCTCTATGGAAATTCTGGAGTCACCACTTTTGATTTCATAGGCTGAAACAGAAAAAGTATTGAAAATAAATATTTGATTTGATTTGAAGACCAACACTAAGCCTTCTATAGAAAAGGGAAATGTTACACATTGTATAAACTCCAAAGAATGACAGTGCTGCTCTTGTAATCATTGATCTGAACATTGATACTACTGGACATAATTCATACTCCTGCAAAAATAAAGTGATAATTTATTGAATATCTATTATGTGCAAGTGAATATTTATTGAATATCTACTATGTGCAAGTCATAAAATTTCCACATGAAATTTGCTTGCATACCAAATAATTACATTTCACAGATGAACAAACTGAGGTGCAGAGAGATTTAGAATCTACTCTGTGCTGGGTGTTCTGATATTTGATCTTATCCAATTTCATTCTCATAGCTGGCCTTGGTCAGATTTCCTGCCTCCTGATTGCTCAAGCTTTGGATCATCATTAGCAAGAGTTGTATGAGGGTGCTCTGCGATTACACCCTAAAATTAAGGTAACGGATGTCTGAAGCGCTCATTAAAATTTGCAAAGAAAAGAGGTCTTGAAATATTTATCTTTGGGCTATTCACTTCTCCTCCTATGTTCTGCGTCCTGCCTTTAGTGCCTTGTTATTTTAAGAGTACAGAGAATCAAATAAACAAACAAACATTGAGATCTTTAAAACTTCCAAACCAGGCTCTTGAGAATTCAAAGATTAGACTGTGAAGGTACCAGGCACACACCGTATGCCCATACAAAGAAAGAAAAATGACAATCAAGAGAAGCCATTGAGGGGCTTAGATACCAGGCAGAGGAGTGACATGACAAATCTTCCTCCATCAACCACAGAAAATATACCTTCCCATGCCTATTAACTTTGTGGGGCTCCATCCATGGCACCCCTAAACAGACTCCTCCGACCCTCTGTTGTGAAGGGGTGTCCAAGTGCCCTGACCTGTAAAGAGTCCTTGGCCCCAAGAGGAGTGGGGTGGTGTGGGAGTGAAGGCCCAAGCAGAGGAACTCAGGTGAGGCTGGACCCTGGGGAGACCCTTCCCAGTTAGAGGTACAGACACCTCAGCGTGGGCAGAGCTGCATCTCTGTAGAATGATTAATGTGATTTGAAGCTGCCTGAGCCCAGGAGACCAGGGCAAGGAGAAACCAGTTTTCCTTCTCCCCCTGGGCCCCAGCATTCCAAAACGATCTCAGTTGAGTGGGCAGGGACTCGGCCTGTCTAACCACATTCAGGGTGGACTGGCAAGGGAGGGCATCCACAGTCTGTATAGGCCCATCATGAAACGATCGTTGACCCCCACAGCTCCTGGCATCCACAGTCCCTAACCAAAGCTTGGCTTTGCTGAGGAGTCCCAGACAGCCAAAGGAAGAGGAGTCGGGGAAAGGCCAGCTTCTGGAGACTGGGGGTCCAGGGCTCCCACCATGTCTTGTGAGCACCAAGGGCAAACTCTGAGTGCGGGGAAGTGAGGGACATCTGTATGACAACAGAGGCGTAGTTGTGTCCTACATTTCCTCACCTTGCGCTGATCCTCAGCCAGCGCAGCACCTTCATCCTCACAATTTTCAGGTTTGGATTTGGTGCCCAAATGACAATAGAAAGGATAAACTTGCATCTATTGGAGTAAAAGAAAGCCCATGGTTTAGGCGTGGGTAACAAGAGAGAGAAATGAACTCCTTTGAGGCTCCCTCCCTTGCTCTTCTCCACATTTTTTTTTTAACTCAAGACAGCAATTAGTTGCACAGGCAAGGAAGAGTGTGTATGAGTGTGTTTGTGTGTGTGAGTGTGTGTGTGTGGGTGTGTGTGTGTGTGGTATGTAGTATGTGGCATAGCTATAGTGAGGTATAGTGCATTGTGCAGGATGCGTTTGGTGTGTGTAGTGTGTATCTGCGTGGTATGTCAGACACTATTTGTCCTTGCTGTCCCAAGCATCTTCCCACATTGCCCCATCTATGGCAGATTTCCGGATCCTTCGGAAATCCTCTCTCCCACACCCAGCCAAATAAGCAAGAACACATGTGAAAAGCATTTTTTTTTTTTTTTTTTACCCCAGAGCCTCTTGAGATGCAGCCAAACAGCTGGAATTACATGCTTTACAGAGAACCAGGGACGTGGCATGGCAATGGGATATTCGGTTTGTATTTGGATGCCAGGTTCCTATTTCCAGAACCTGAGAGGGCGAGAGGCAGGGAGAGGTGGAGCTGTCTCTGACCAGCAGCTAGGGGTGTGCTTGTGAGTCTGTGTGTTTAGAGGTGCCTTTCATTAAAAAGCTGCCTCCTCTGGCTTTCCCCATTCACATGTGCATTTGCCTGTCAGACTCCAGTTTGAAAATCAGCCTCTTTCTCTTCATTCATCTCCCCAGTCCCCTGCTTTCTCTTTTATTTGTTTCAGACAGTAAATCCATCTCCTTCTGCACAGTAGCTCAGGGTTCTTAATCTGTTGCATGGGGCAGGCGCCCAGATTAAAGCAGGGGAGATTAGAATGCTGTGCGCTTGTAAGAGTGCTGGGCCCTGGAGGCTTTCTCTGCTTCTACCTTCCTGGTTATGGGAGGGCTTGGCTTCCTCTTGATTCTGGGGGGAAATCCAGAACTGCCAGCGTCTAGCTTGCATTCCACATCTGTTCCAGTCATGTGCAGCTGCATAACAAACCACCTCAAACCAAATGGCTTAAAATCACAATCATTTATTTTGCTCAAGAATCTATACTGTTGAGCAGAATTCAAAAGGGACGTCTCATCTCTGCTTCTACATGGTACTTGCTGGGGTGGCTGGAAGGTGTGGGGATTCACCAGCTGGGGGCTGAAGTCCTCTCAAGCTGCTTTACTCACATATCTGGCAGATGATGCTGACTTTGCATGGGACCTTCTCTGGGATTGTCAGCTCTTGAACCTCCATGTGACTTCTGTGACTGCCTGGTGTTCTCACACTGCACGCAGGCAGGGTTCCAAAGCAAATGCCTCAAGAGTGGAAATGGAAGTGTGTGACATTTTTATGTCACCAGTCACAGAAGTCATTTAGTGTCACTTCTGCCATCCTTCCTTGGTGAGGCACTTACATAGTTGTGTCTAAGTCCAAGAGAGGGTGACATAGATGCCATCATTCAATGGGAAGAGGGTTCAATGTCACTTTGTAAGAATAGCATGTATGTGTGAGTGTGTGTAGAGTGTGCTTTGCACTTTATTGTAGCAATACAAAGAACACATATAGATGGTTGTGAACACACACTAAATTCGGTAGCCCTGTTTGAAAATACAATCTGCCACATCTCTTTCTATACTCACCATCCCTATCTTTGACTCTTTGGTGCTATTGGTTTAAATTTGTACACAGAGTTGGAATTTTTAGTAAGGATTATGTTCTCACATGGATTATAAAGCTTACACTTTTTCTTAAATCATGTGGTAGGCAAAATGGCCCCGTGGTGGACACCCAGATTCCTGCCCCTGGATCATATATCTCCATCCTCCCAGGACTCTGCTTGAGTGTGTGTGTGTATGGGGGGGGTGGTGATTAGGGAAACACCATCTCGCAAAGGTGAAGGGATGTTGCAGATGTAACTAAGGATTCCCCTCAGTTACCTTGGATTAATCAAAAGGGAGATTACCCTGATTATGTCAGATGGGCCTGACACAATCAGGCAAGTCCTAAAAAAAAAAGAGAGTTCAGGGGGCTGGGGACATAGCTCAGTTGGTAGAGTACTTGCCTCACATGCACAAGGCTCTGGGTTCAATCTCTGGCACCCCCCAAAAAATTATTATGTTTGTATACAATCAGAGATATGAAAAATTGAGCTCTATGTGTGTAATATGAATTGTAATGCATTCTGCTTCATATATAACGAATTAGAATAAATTTTTTAAAAAGAGAGAGAGAGAGAGAGTTCAGACCTTCCTTGAAGAGAAAAACATTCCCACTGGCTTTGAAGGAGTAAGTGGCCCGTGAGGGAGGGCCCCACAGCTAACATGTAAGGGTACCCTCTAGCTGCTGAGAGCAACCCCTGGCCAACAGCCTTTAAGAAAACAGGGACCCCAGTCCTACAAACGCAAGGAAAGAAATTCTACCAATAACCTGAATGGACTTGGAAGAACTCCAGATAAGAACACAACCCGGTGCACATCTTGATTTCAGAGTTGTGAGACCTTGAACAGAGAAGCCAGCTACTCCATGCCCTGGTTCCTGACCCACAGAAATTATGAGAAAATGCCAATGTGGGTTTCAAGCTACCAAGTTTGTGGTAACATGTTATGCAGCTAGAAAACTAACAGATATAACTATGAACTCCACTTTAGAACTCTACTGGATGTGTAACTGGAGAAACACGAGGCAGATCCAGTAGCGAGACTGCGCATGCTGAGAGACGCAGCTCAAATGTCACTTCTGTGCCATCTTCATGGGTTCCCTTCAGCCAATCTCTTGCATCTGAAATCCTATAGCTTTGTTTGTCCCTCTTTTGTGGCACTTCTCATATTCTACTTATATTTACCAGTGTACAGTTCTTGTCTTCCTGACTGGATTATAGAATCCTTCTGAAGGAGATGGCGTCCTGTTTACTTTGGTGGTGCCAAGATGCTTAACATAATTCTTTGCGTATCAACAAAGGTTTACTGACAATTCATTAAATATTTCTCTCAATGACAGAACTTCAACTTTTACTGATTGAGGCGGTTGGAGAACACTTTTGATATGAGGACAATCAAGACATGTCTTCACGATTATTTTCCCATGATAGTTTAAAATATCAAAAGTAGCCAAGCATTCTGCTCCTCATTTGTAGTCAGTGAGAATGTTTCTGTCATCTGAGATTCTGAAATTAAGCCCGTGAATGTGCATCCAATGGATTCTGGTTCTCTGAAACTCTCTGCCAAGACAAAATTGCAGATCTGAGTAATCTTTATTTTTATCTAGAGAATGGAGAAGAGACTTTCTTTCATAAGCCACTGGGACAGGGCCACCTCTAGAATCAGGGCCACTGTCTTTAGGAGATGTAGGGCTGAAATTTCTTCTTGGAGCATGAAATACAAATCTATTTACAGAGCCTTTAGCTCCTCTTGGAATTAAGTTTTGGGACACTAAACAAGGAGAAAGCAGAAAAGTGGAAGAATAGAAAACACCCATGCTTTAAGTATGATAAACCTTTTATAACAAAAGAAGCCAGGAGCCCCTGGGGGCTGGTTGGTTGGGGCCCCTGCAGGATCAGTGAGTCTCTCTCAGAGGCCCCAGGCA